CAATATTGAGTATACACCCCTGTGTTGCCTATTGTAGTTGGTATGGCACTTCTGTAGTCGTTGAGTATGATCCACAGTCAATTGAGCCTGTGTCATTGATTTTCGCAATATCTAACCTGATCTAAAAGGCTGATTTGATAAACGAATTCAAATTAATCAATTGAAACTGAAATTAGGGTTTGTGGTTGATGTTTGAATACAATTCTCTCTGTCGAAACGGAAATGAGAGTACTGTCAAGGAAGGAAAATGAAACAGGTTAAGGACTCGCTCAAGAAAAAAAAGACGAAGCAATAGCGAATATTTTCGACTATAATCCTATGACAAGAGTTTAAAAGTATGATCAACCTTTTAAAACAATGGTAAGCTACCTCTATCAGTTTTTATTAAAGCTGAAATTTAACAAACCTATTTACTGGGAGTTTCCGTCTAGGTTCCAAGTGGAAGCTGCTCTTTCTCAATATTGAGCTGTAAGAAGTAACGCAATGCTATCTTTGATATATTTATTCATCATGTAGTGTATAGACATTCAAAAGAAAGATAATCCTTGTCGTTTAGAGGAACACGTCTCTTTAAGCTTAGGAGGTATTCAAGTATTTGCACGCTGGATTTTATAAGCGAAAAACGAACGAAGAGCAAGCGAGGCATTAAGCAAACGAAAGAAATTCTACCAGAATGGACATTTACGTTGGAGTGCACTCAAATTGCTATACATAACCCACATTCATAAACTTTTGCTCTTTTTTTGCTTGACTTTGATGTGATTGCAGGCAAAGAGTAATAATTGGTCATAAGTTGCATACTCCACATGTGGGTAATTGCCTTCTGATCTGTTTAATCTTCGGTTTCTGATAATATGACACCTGCTACGTTAAAAATTAATCGTATGTGTCTATAATCAAGTGAAGACATGTCTTGAATGATTTTTTTAAACTTTTTTTATTAGGAAGAAACGTTTCAAATCGGGCGGATCTTTGGATGACAGAGATGATTTCACCAACGGGCATCCGATGAGAATGAGAAAGAGCCGTAAACGACGTTCGCTTCAGAAACGCTTAATGGGAAGCACAGAATCCCTAAACAGATTGGACGAACTTGCAGCGAGCAGAGCAAGTAAGATTATTTGCTAGTCACTCTTCGTGATCGGCTATCGTCACGATTTTGCAAACGTTTCTTTTTTTCTTTTTTCTCATTTTCATTTTTCCATTTGAATTGTTGTCTCGCTTTGTTGTGCTTAAATATCGTGCGATTCACTTTGCTCCACGTTTTGTTAATTCCAAAACAGTACCCATTTTAAGTGCTTTTTTTCTAAGCAACGTGATATTTTAGGGAATACAAGTGTGAGTTTGGCAACCAGGCTGGCTCGGATCGCGGGACTAGTTTTGTCTTCTGTTCACATAGGTGATTTCCACCCAATTAAGTAGCGGAGAGTGCAGCCCGATATACTGTTCTCACCAAGAAATTCAGCGTGCTTACCGAGATGAATCAGTGATGCCTGATCTTTCAGTTCTCGCTCCTTTAACCGCGTATGGTCAATTTTACAGTCACCGCGTAAATTTTTCCATTGTGTACATGCACCTGCTGTGCGTCAGAAATTACGTGCGACTGATTTTAAACTTATCTTTCTTTTGTTTATGAACACCGCCCCTTTTCTGAGCCAACGTACCTTAAGTCCGCGTCATATTTTCCTTAAATTTTTTTACGCTATTTGCGTAATGCATCCTATCATAGTTCAAATGCCGAAGACCTTACGTAAACCAGCCTTTCTGTTATTTACAAGGGCGTCATCCTGTTCCAATTGATGACTTTGAAAGACACGTGGAGCGAATGCACATGGATGGTGATCATGGCTTCTCTGAGGAATATTTGGTACAAGTAGTTCGTTTCATACTTTGTCTCTGTTTTGCGTTTTCTTCCGGCAAGCGATTACCATTTGCTGTTT